TATATTTATATTTAATGTAGTTATATAGTGTAAGTTAAAAAATTAGTATAATATAACACAAGTAAGTCGCACAAATAAAAAGTATCATAATAAATATATAATATATATATTTTTTTTATAAAAGGTATTTAAATTTTCAAACTACTTTTTCTCATTAATTTTAAATTTTAAGAAAAAAATTAGTAAGCACCCGTGTAATACACGGGTGTTGTACTAGTTATTTTTGTATAGAAGTGGAATTTAATATATGTATATAATAAGAATCAATTTTTAAACATGTTGTCTGAGTAAATATTTTACATGTATATATATATAGATGTTAACTTTAATTGTTTTTAAATATATTTTTCTTATAAAATAGTTTAGAAAAATTTAGGTAATTTCACATTTTTTAAGACTAATATATAATATTTTAGGTACTTTTATATACGTTATATAACAGTCTATGAATTCTTAATGTTTTTTCGGTTGTAATATTATTAACACATATAATATTTTAGATACTTAATTTTGAAAATATTTGGACAAATTTTTTACACATTCTCTAGATTAAAACATATTTTGCTTACAAAATGGTTTAGAATAATGTTAGGTGACTTCGTACATATTTCAAAAATTAAATAGAATATTTCAAATACTTGTGCATATGTGATATAAGATTTTATATCATATAAAAAGAGAATAAGATTTATAATTCCTGATAAAAAACATTAAATACATATTTAATCTTAGATATAAAATCTCATTTTATTTGTTATATAATACTTCGGTTTGCGTTAATCTTATTTGTAAATTTGATAAATCAAGACTACAAGGACTTAAAAAAAAACTAATTTTTAACTCTAGAAATAAGTTAGGTCATAATTCTCAATATCAACTCAATATTTATTTTGTACATACTATATATCATCTCAATATTTATTTATATATATTTTTTTATATTTAATGTAAATCTTTTCATTTTCAGTTAATAAAGTGTAATAATATCTTTATTTAGGCTCATAATATATTATATATTTTTAAACATATTATTTAGAAATTTTTGAACACGTTCTATCTATATATACATTTACATATAAACGTATGCATGTACATATGTAAATTTAAATATTGTTAGACATGTTTTCATGAAAAATTAATGTAGAAGATTTTAGGTGATTTCACATCTTTTTAAATAGTTTAAACATATTTTCTTTACAAAATAGTTTAGAAAAATTTTAAGTAACTTCAATCTTTCAATAATGATATATACAATTTTAGATACTTTTTCCTACGTTATATAATATTTTAGGCATTTTTAATATTTTAAACATATATTTTCAAAAATTCTTTTATAAAAGATAATTTTAT